ATTGAGCCCTGTTACTTTATAATCGAAATATCCATACCAAAACAACCCTCCATGTCCACGCTAACCGTTTAAAACATGGCACTGCCCAGCAAGAATTAGGAGAAATGAATGAATCTGAAACTCAACCAATCCTAACTTCAAATTCAGCAAAATCCAAAGAACCATTACCTTCCACTTCCATGTTCATAGATCCATGGGATGAAGTCATCCTCACCGAGATACAACAACAGACAGAATCGGAAAGAGGAGACGAAGAAGACGTAACTACCAACGAAGAAACGAGAAAATCTGAACTAACTCCTTCACCTCCTTATGCCTTGAGAAGTCAAGGACCGGTAGAGGAACAACCTTGAATCCTTCCCACTCCTCAACGAAGTCAAATTCCTAAACGAAAGGCTAGCCTGCCTAAGAATGGAGTCAACACTCAACCAAAGGTAACAAAACAAGGGACTTAACGTAAGTGAGAGAAAAAAAAATTGAAGCTACCCCTCCCACCAGTCATCCGGAAGTTATCCCACATGCAGCTCGTACTCCTATATTTCGTTCTCCTTCATCCCACTCCACTTCCCATCCTCCCCACCAGTCCAATCCTAGAAACTCAGCCTCATAACTTTTCTTCATCCCTTCATCTATATATCGTTTGTATTACCATACAAACCATGTTATAAATATTATATGTATTATATAACCAATATCTTTTTTTTTTGTAACCAAAGTTTATCTTTATTAAAACAACATTTATATTTACCTTTAACCACATGTCCGTGTGTTTTATTTTTAACTGCATAACACAAAACGAGAGAGAGAGTGTAAAACCAAATCTGTATACTAGTCATTAAATAAACAATAATAATCTTTGTTTTCATAACTTGTACTCCTATTACCAACATGTAAACAGTAAAAAGAGAGAGAGTAAAAGTCCAACTTATTGATGTTCTTATATCACCATATAAAATTGAATTTGCACCTTCACGAACAAGCCCGATTTTCAAAAGGCCAGAGTGATGTGAGATAGCAGAAATTCCTATATTAGAACTAGTCTTTAAAAGTAACGTTGCGCGAGTTACGCAACAATTGTTGGTCTTAGCTACCTGATAAAGTCTCCCATTACATTTTCTCGAAGGCAACATGATGCTTTCTCGTGAACTATTAACCTCTGCACGTCCGAAATCGTCCATGAATATCACCAGAGACGGCCGAAAAGAGTTAGTCGCCATTTTAGTCCTCGGAGAGGAAAGAAGTCATCGCCCATTTAATCGTCGTCCATTTAATCATCACCCATTTAATAGTCGCCTATAGGATAACCTTTTTTCTGTGTGTGTCAGTGCACGACAGAGCCTGGATAAATCAAAAGGGACATTTTGACTGGATATTTCACCCCTGGATACATCCTGAAAAAGCCCATAAGAAGAACTATTACCTTGTTCTCCGATTCAACACGACCCGACCGGGATATCTATTACTGAAGGTATTTATCACCACGCGAACCTTATGTGAACTCTCTCTCTCCGCAACAAAACTTTATCCAATTTATTTTTAAATAAATCCTTGTTAATTGTTAAGTTTATCTGAGTCACTTCCACATGTTGTCTCTCCATCGGTTAACCTTATGAATCCGTCTGTCCACGTACGGGTCTGCTCGTGCAACGGTGTGACGTAATCGCCATCTCGGTTTCCGTGTTCCGCTAAACACGGTGGTGTCAATCCTGACAGGGCACTAAGGAGGTGCCAACTCGAAAGGTCACAAAATACTGTTTTTCTAAAAGTATACAAATAGTGTGTTGTTAATCAAAAACACTTGTCTTGAAAGAAAAATTTTTTATATTTGTGTTTAATTTTTTCATTATATTTATTTATACAATAAATTAAATTTTGATAATGTTTTCATTTTTGTGTACAATAAATGTAATTTTTGACTAAATTTTTTTAAATGTTAAGGCATTTTACACATAAGAGATGGTAGTAAAAATAAATCAATCTTTGTGAATTCAATGTTCTGAAACATTGTTGTTCAAACTATGGCTCTCAGAACAAATCTGGCCTGTGAACACATATGGCACATCACTTGTAATAGGCTTACTTTATATATATTTATGGAATACATAGAATATTTGAGGAATCAATGACTTTTTTTGACATATAGTAGAGTCAAAATGACAACGTCCATGCTTCCTAATGCAACTGAGTATGCCTAACGGAATTTAGGGGAGAAAATAAAAAAACAGCATTGCATGTGCCTAATAGAAAATAGGCAGGCCCACCAGTGACCAATCGGTCTTCGAACCCATGACTGAACACTGGGAGTTCAGTCATGGGTTCATGCCTCACTCAGACAGGCTGGCCACATGGAGTTTTCCGGGTTCTCTCCAAGTCTGTAATGCCTAAATAGGGGCCAGTTTCCCTTAAAAATCCCTCCCGGAAGGCATCCCCCTAGGCAGATAGCCCAAGTGTTGTGTTGCCATAACTTAATAAACGAAACAAACAATAGAAAATAGGCACAAAAATGAACAGAACACAAAAACAAAGCAATCACCATTGATTGCTTTGTTCTTGGATGCCTTTCCATGTCAGCAAGTGCAAGGACACTCTCCATACCTGGCAGTGCAAGGATCACATCTCCCATGGCCAGCAGCTACAAGGATTGCCTTTCCTATGAGCAGCAGGATCATGGAAAGATTTGTCAGGTGCAGAGATGGCAGAGACAGAGGTGTGTCCTGGGTACCAAAATTTCAAAATCGTTGTGTGGGCAAACAATAAATTCATAAGAAAACTGTCACACACAAGTATGAAAAATCATATTATGAAATACAATATACATTATATTAATAAAAAAATCTAGCAATGAGTTGCATAACTTTCCCAGCTTTTATAAGATTTTATTTTTAAAATAACATCTGTATTATTAATCGAAATAAATAACTAAAATTGTATTTGGTGCCATCTGTTAAGATTTTCTTATAAAAACTTTATATACAGTAGAGCATCGATTATCCGAAAGTCAATCATCCGAAAGAATTCCAGTCGACAAATTTAAATTTTTGCCAGTGCTGTGGCACTGCAATCTTTGGCTATGTCTTGGGCTACTCAAATATTTTACGTTTTTGATACTAAACTAACTTCTGAAGTATAATTTTTTATTGTTTTTATATTTTTCAATATATTTATTTTGTTTGTATAAAATAAAAAAATAATTTTTAACAATACAATAGTCTTCATTAGGCTTAACATCGATGAAAATTCAACGCAAAGTGACACACAATGGAGAAAAATGTCAAGATGGGATAAATTAATATATTTTTTCGTATATAATTGGTTATCCAAAACATCAATCTTCCGAACAACCACAGTCCCCAATTGATTCAGATAATCGACGCTCTACTTATTTTTAATTATTATAAAATTGTAAAATACTTAATTTTTAGGGTAGAGACGAGTTTTATAAAACATTGCTCTACGTATTTTTAATTATTATAAAATTGCAAAATACTTAATTTTTAGGGTAGAGATGAGTTTTATAAAACATTGTAAATGCTAATAAGTAAAATCTTCATTAAGCCCAACAACTCCATCCTCTTGATCTTTCACAACCAAAATTTAATAGCATCAATGCTCCTTTATATACAAACTACCATGCTAAATTTCATTTCTTTATCTTATCCTAAGATATTAAGTGAAATAGACACAAACACACACATATATCCATAAACTGTTTTTGCCATTTTTTTTTTTTTTTACTTTTTTGGGTTCAGGGGTCTCAAAACATGGAGATTTGCAAAAAACTCAGAGGATCAAATTTGACATGATTCCATTACTTTCCCTTGTTATTTATATATAACAGGAAAGTAAAAGTGATTTCAGAATTTTTAAATTTGTAACAGACTAATGAGAAGCTTATCCAAAAGGCATCACATTTAAGTTTGTCCCTGGTGCCAAATGCTCCAGCAACTTATATAGGTATCGAAATAACTTCTTTTGCCGCAGCAAGTGAAAAGTTCACCGGTCTGAATCCGTCAGATACAAAGCTAGCCTCTTCTGTGCCTAATAACTACAATTACTAGAAATTCTGGTTTTACCAATTGACATTAAACATGTCAGACATGTTAAAACAATTAAGAAATATATAACTTAAAGGTCTATTAATTATTATTAATATTCAGTTTCCTTTCAGATATTTTGTATATTTATTCTATTTTCAGTCTGAAAATGTAATTAGCAGTGTGTTGTTATACAATTGGAACTAAGAATCTCTTACATTCTTCTCCATACAAATATACAGTATAATACAAAATGTTCTATTTTTGGCATGCTTTTTTAAATTTAGTCAAAACCTGGAGACAACCTATGGTAATAGGTTGAAAACGTTTGTTAAATAAAAATTTCTCTCTCAGCAAACCTGAAGTGTTGTAATAAGATTGTAGTCTCTATCTGCTTATTATTCATACCAAATACACTTGCACTTGGTATGAATAATGTTTTCTTATTTTGTGCACTTAAATATATTGTCATTTCGAATATTCCACATACACAAACAAATTGTGTAACGAAAATTCTAATTTAGTTATCTTTCTCTTAAAATTCTAAATACATTTAAAAGATTGACATCAATCATCTCTTTAAAATTTTCGTCGAATTTATTTATTAACAAAATATAAACAAACACATTTAATTCGAAAATAAATCAAAAATTTTATTTAAAATAAATCATTAGTAAACGGTATCTATTACCATAATCAAATAGAAAAGTATATCCAAAATCAAAACAGTTATTGCGTAATACGAAAACATTAGTAAACACGTTAGAGACAAGTAGCCTCATTGGACGGCGCATCAACTACGACATTTGTCTGACCAATCACCCGAAAGTACTCAAATCGATCTTAAGGCAATGTCCACCAATATATTCATTCATATAGCGTATATATATATAAAAATGGCTCAATTTGTTCAATTATTTTTATATATTTACAATAATTAACTTCGTTCTCTGAAGATAAACTTACCAAACATTCTAAGATGCATATTCGTTATAGGATTATACGAACCGCAAGCTAAGAGCACAACCCAACAGGGCGAAGACATGTTTACAAGTCAACTAACCCGCTCGATTTCAGCGACGACATGTGGTAGCAATTGCTTTAATTTTTTTTTTTTTTATCTGTTAAATTTATTAATAATAATAAAATTAAAATACCGTTTTAATTGTTTGTAAATAATTAATAGTTAACATTTATTTATTAGTTTCTATAATTAATAAAATGTTGCACGAATATAAATTTTAAATGTTTCTAAAAATAAATGATGGAGCTATTGACCTCAATATTCTTGAACATTAGCATTAAAATATAAATTACATTACTCTATTTATGTAATTTTCTCAGCTATTCAATTAATAAATTCAAAGAAAAATTTAAATTAGATAATTTTATTCTTTACACTTATATATATTTATTTTAAAAATTTATAAGAATAATTTCTACACTAAAGTTACTTCATAGAAAATTATTTAGTCTGCAATTTTGTTGATTTTTATTTTAAAATTTATAGAATCGTGTAAAATCCTAAAATGTAGTAGCAAAATGGCCATACTTTTACACTAAAAAAAATCTTAATGTAATTTTGTTTAGTGATGTAACGAATATTCGGTTACTATTCGGTATTCGGCCTATTTTTCGCTATTCGGCCGAATACCGAATACCTAAAAACAGGAGTAAGAAATAACAAAAACACAGTAAATTAATCATTTTGGTCAGTGGCGTAGCGTGGGTGTCAGCCGCTCGGGGCTGAGGAAAATTTCGCCGCCCCCTTATTTAGGTATCTCAATCTAAAAGACTAAAATTCAGTTTCGTCACAGGAAAAAGTAATGAAAAATTCCGTGCTAGTGTTGCCACCTTTTTAAAATCGCCGACCCTGACGGCAGGTGAGGTTTGTTCGAACAGAAGTTCCTGACGCATGCGTATATCATTTTGCAATGAAGAATAATTTGCAGTGCATGCTGGTTCTAAATCAGTTACAGTTAGGGACTAGGGAAACTTGGGCAGGAGTAACGTAAGTAATCTAGTTCAGTGTTTTTCAATCTTTTTGAATACGCGACCCCTTTACAAGTTAAAAAATTCTGGCGACTCTCCTAGGGCCATATTAAAACTATATCAGTGATTTTAAAAACTATGTATTTAATTTTCTTTCTGTTGAGACAAATTATTGTTGATTAAAATGAAAATTTCAGCAGAATCGACAATAATTTAACACACATAAAGTATGAAACTTCCTTTAATTATAACATCAGGCACAGGGAACTGTTGACCATTTTTTTAGGATCTGAATTTTCAGCTTCTATTTTTCTACTTTTTATTTCCTTTTGCAAATCAGCTCAACACTTTTTCCGCTATCATTTTCTGGGGTGGGCCGTAATTCTCGCTGAAATTGTAGTTTTTTTTTACTGTAGTGTAGGACCTACAAACACTTGTCTTTTTCTTCTACCCGTGACCCCCGTGTAAGGCTTCGCCACTCACAGGTTGAAAAACACTGATCCAGATGACTTAGCCCTATTGGATATTGGAGGTGTAGATGAGTACGAATGAATCGAACAAGTAAAAAAAAAAAAAAAAGGTCGGACGGCGAGTAGGATGGTAACACTATTCCCACTATTCCGTGCTCATTTCAATCGGTCCGAATCGTAGGTGGTCGAAAATATGAAATAAAATGGTTCAAATTCTTACAAGATATTATTATTATTTATTGTGAAATTTTGCCGCCCCTGCCGCCCCCCTACTGATTTTGGTATTTAGATTTAATGTTATCGGGTTAGTGTTGTTTGTTTATATTTATTTATAACTTATAACATGCACAAAATAAAAAAGAAAATAATATTAGTCACATGTATTCACAATTTATAATTACAAGGATCAGCACACGTACACACCTATTCGTTCGAGAATCGTCATACATCTGAGGGTCTGACCCTGCATATCCTTCTTTTTAAGCGCTCGTCTTTGCTCTTCCCTTTCTCTTTCCTCTATCGCTCTAGTCCACGTATGCCTATGCATAAATCATAATACGCGCTCACGATACTTTCGATTTGTCACTTTTCCGTCGTAGATTTCCCATTTTACAATTATGTGACTCATAGCCTGGTGATAAAGGAGAAAAGAGACAAATAGGACGTCAAATTAAGTCACAGTTATGATTTCACAGATTCGAGACAGCTTGGTAGCCCGAACAGCCCCAGGCTTTCGTCCGTGCACGCTAAGTGATTTTCATTACAAGCATTTAGTTTTCCGAAATCTATGACAACAATTGTTTGGCATTGACGGCCGCGAATTTCGCGCCAATAAGCTGCCTCGACTTGTTCGATTATGTTATTTACTGAATTTCATATTTATTTTCACATTTTCACGGTCCTTCTCTGTTCTTTTTCCGTTATTTACACGTGAAGGACTGTAAAAATGTGAAAATAAATATGAAATTCAGTAAATAACATAATCGAACAAGTCGAGGCAGCTTATTGTTATCCACACTTGATATCATCATTTATCACATACTGTCATGACGCTCTTGTCTGTCCGCTACAACTATCAAGAATTAACGCGATTGGCGAAACGTAGTGACAGCGGGCCAATAGAGAGCAGGGTCCTTGCCATAATGCGGTTTGCGCGCCAATTTTCGTACGTGCGTTAATCGAGCCGAATAGTTTGGCCGAATATTCGGTATTCGGCCTGAGGCCGAATATACTATTCGTTGCAACATTAATTTTGTTCTTTTTGTTCAGATTTAGTTAATATGTCCAGCAACGTACTGATTTTATTTTTAAACTAGCTGCAAGGACCCGCTTCGCTGGGCAAAAAGTAACGATAGTGAAGATTAAGATAATTACATTATAGCTAATCTTACCCGTTTTCACAGAATGCAAGAATTAGGTCCCCGTTTCCACACTAATTAGAGAATTTTTACGTTTAGTCAAACGAACTATTTTCAACGTTTCTGGAACGTTCACAATCGTTCTATAATCGAACCAATATTCGAATTTTATGTTCGAATTTAATTCGAACAAAACATTCGAAATAGAAAGCCACTTTCAGCCTCATATCTCCCGCACCCTTATAGTTATCGAGACGCAACCACCCCTATGCACGAATGGAGACTTGAGGCTACTACCACATACAAACACCATTCACGTGCTGTGTGTAGTTTTTGCGGAAAAGTGAAATATAGGGACATACATGTCCATTTATATATATATATAGATAGATATGAAAATGTTTGACAATCTCCAGGAATATTCCTTTATGCTCAGAGGAAATTGTGGCGCTGCAAGGATGACAATTTTAAGACAAGAGCACGAAATTTTATTAAAAGAATAAAATTACATTTTACACATTTACAGTAAATGTTCACTGTAAGATCCTTCTCGGTCGATCATATTTTGCAATCGTAAAATCGAGTAATCAACTGCCGCACGTAACGTTTCAGGACGAATCTTGGACACATGCACTACGGCTTCAGCTCCGATAGGAGTAAGTTACACATGCCCCTGATAAACACGATCTTTCAAATAACCCCACGCTACATTTCCCCTAAAGGTGAAAACCTCAACTAATTTACCCTCGTAAATCTTTTTCCGTGATCTGCATTGCATGTGTACAGAATTTCATTCGATTCGGTTCAGTAGAGTCGGCTCCACCCATGTCTAAGTACTGTCAGTTTAATTCTAACCACCCTGTATTTTTAAGAATTGATGTTTTAATTATTACGAAAGTTTGTTATAACTTTATTAAACATTTTATAATTAGTATGAAGAATTATGTACTACTGTGATCAAGAAGTATCGGAAATAATTCATTTAAATTGAACTCATGCAAGTGGGCGCTGTCGTCGTTTTGTACGACTTTCATAGATATCTAGCAGCAATCAATACGTCATCATCTGTTTTCGTTTGCAAATAAACGCTTGTTTTGAGTGTAAAGAATTTTTGCGCCAGCGATTTTTCAAAATGTCGAGTGTAACTGAACAAAGAATATCAATTAAATTTTTCTAATTTTCAATTAGAGATTCAGACTATGTACAAAAAATTATTTAATTTTTGAGTCTATCAATTAATCCTTTTTCACACACCATAGAAGTAGCCTTTACATTGGTTTGAAGAAATCACTTCATAAAACGAATAACAATAGGTAAAATTTACAATTAAAAACGATCAGACGTCAGCCTTTCATTTTAGGTATCTGACGCCTTAACATTAAAAATTTAGTAAATCTTCTCACCAACTGCCAAGTTTTATACCCTCTGTATCAGGTTCCTGATACAGAGTTCATCATGAAATTGTAACTATATGCAAATCAAAGATAACTCGTATCCACCAATAGAGGGCTTGAACCTGTTACAGAGGGTATAAAACTTGGCAGTTGGTGAGAAGATTTACTAAATATTTAATGTTAAGGCGTCAGATACCTAAAATGAAAGGCTGACGTCTGATCGTTTTTAATTGTAAATTTTACCTATTGTTATTCGTTTTATGAAGTGCTTTCTTCAAACCAATGTAAAGGCTACTTCTATGGTGTGTGAAAAAGGATTAATTGATAGACTCAAAAATTAAATAATTTTTTGTACATAGTCTGAATCTCTAATTGAAAATTAGAAGATAAATATCCTGAGTTCATCATGAAATTGTAACAATTAAATTTTGTTTTCGCAACGGAATTACTGCTACAAAAACGTTTGAAATGTTACAAAAAGTCTTTGGTGACGATAGTACAGTACATCAAAAACAAGAATTTTCGAGTGGTACAAAAAGTTCAAGGAAGGCAGCAAACGCGTAGAAGATAAACTACGCTCTGCTAGACCATCCACTTCAACTGATAAACAATACGTCGCTCGAATCAGAGATTTGGAGCTCGATGATCGTCGTTTAACAATTATGGATATTATTGACTATGTTCCAGTATCATTTGGATCTTGTCAAGCAATTTTATAACATCATTAGAGTTTGTGGCGCGTCATCCCAAAAACGTTGAATTTTTAATTATTTTGTCATTTTATAATAATTAAAATTATACAAAGTTTTTATAACAAAATCTCATAACAGATGGCGCCACACAAAATTTTATTTATTTATTATGATTAATAATATAAAAGTTATTTTTTAAATAAAATCTCATAACAGCCGGGAAAGTTGTGCAACTCGTTGCTAGATTTTTTAAAACTCTCCGTCCTGTAGGAAAAAGAAAACCTTTTTTTCAGGCCCCTCTGGAATCGCCTACATCTATAATGGAGCGGCTGAGTTGTGAGGAATGGGACTGGATATATGTACAGTACATGTACAGTATTGTACATCCGCTCGAGTGTACCTACCTTTTGTGCAACCTGTGGAATAGCAGAGGAGAATGGGGTAAAAGTGCGCAGTGGGGATATAATTAGTTGTATAAATGTCAGGTTGACATTACTGAATTAGTTTATAAGTTCTCTTGCTGAATTGTTTAAAACTTAATGATAACCGATTTGGCGTGAGTAGTTTTGAAATCATGACGTAAGATTCATTTTTTCTCTTTTTTGATATAATATTTTAATTGTTTACATACTATATTTCATAATTATGTATAAACTTAAGAAAATCATTTCTTAGATTTTTTGATAGACTCGTTTCTCGTGTGCATTACGGTGGAATAAACATTTAGAAATGTTCTCGGTGTAGATGGTAGTATCTGTTTTTGAAAAAAACGATGTGGGGCAAATGTTCGCATGCTAATGTGAGGCAAAAATGCACATGAGAACTTGTTTACAGATGAGGATTTTGCGCCTTGTGCAGTAAGATATACATGTTGATAAAGAAACAAATATCTGCAGTATTGGATAGATAAATAAAGAAACATCAACTGGAAGAGTAGTTGCAGATGCAAGGATTGGAGAATATACAAAAATTATTTGAATTTAATGAAAAGTTTTCATTTTTTAAATTAATGTTATTTTTTTATTAAATTCTGTTCATCAATACACACTTTGTATAGCTTTTCGTAAAAATCTTATCCTACAAACTTTTACCCTACCATGTACGCAGTTTTTCCCCACTGGGGAGCAAAAATGCTCTTTTGTAACCTTTTGAAAAATTAGTTTTTGCTCTGGGGACCTGGGATAGAATCCAGACGGGTCGAAAAATCCCCAGGAATTTTCCGGGGAGTGATCCGTCCGGATATGTCGGGCCCCATCTCTCATCACCCATCAGTTCCATTGTGGGCTTGGCCAAGCCCACAATGGGCTTGCTAAAAGAGGCCCACAGGGTGGAAAGTTAAAAAAACTTTTGAAAAGTTTCTTTAAATGACATATATTCAAAATATCGATAAAAGTCATACGGAATCTTAAAGAAGACAGTTTAAAAACTGTTATACATATATTTCAAGATTCTCACTCTTCTAAGAAAGAATTTATATTGTATAAAAAAACTAGTGCGTGCTATTTACTCATTCTCCTCTACAGAGGCCCTCTACCACTCACACTAGCCATAATAGCCAACACTATAAAGAACTATTTGAGGAATTCAATGGACGAAGAGAGACTAAATGTTTTAGTATTACTTTCCATAAAAAATTCAGAAGCGAGAAAACTGTATTTGTCAAAGGCAGAGGATATGCTGCACTTAGTGTAAGTCTATAAAAAATTTAAGAGGCTAGTGTTCATTATAAAGTAAGCAGGCTTACAGTGTACTAATGTAGCTACTTAATTTATTCATTTTGAAAGAGTAGTAATTACTTTATAATTTTGTGTATGTTGGGCTGTTGTGAAAAAATAAAGCCCAATGAGAGCTCGTTTTAGAAATGTTTCTCAGTGCTACCCATATGTATTTATACCACTGTCTGGACGGACCACCTCTAAGAAATTTCTGGGTTTTTATACCACTTGGATTCAATCTTGGATCCCCAGAGCGGTAAACTGGCACCTCGGACACACGACCAGCGTTGGTAATTTTTGCATACAATAAGATTGTGATTTCAAGTATACACACAGTATGTACTGTACTGTACTGTACAATAGACTTAAACTGAACATTTGTGATAAATTTTAGTTTTACAAGATTAATATTAATTATAACCAAGTAATTATTTTATTATAAGGTTAATAATCTTTTAAATGGTTATTAGTTTTTTTTTATTATTCTAGAAATGCAGGATAAAACAGAATGAATATGGTATGAATAAAAACAATGAAGTCGCTTGATTGGATATTGATTTTTGATAATTTATTTCACTTCTTAAAATAATAAATAATTCAAATTATCAACCAGTCCACTTTTAGTTCTTCTTGTTCCAGTTAATGATCGAGTCCCAGATAAAAATAAAATTCTAGATGAAAAACATTTAAAATGTTTAAGTGTCTTTAACTGCTGTAGTAGCCAAATGCTTCTTACATATCAACAGGAAATTGAGATTTTCCTTGAGTTTAGTGCAACCTCTCGGATTGATTATACTTTCGTGAATCATTTGTAGGACACTTCTTTCTTTTTCACAGTTCAGGTTTATGTAAATACGGCGATTGCAAATATGGACATAATGAAGGCGGACGATAAAGCGCAGGATTATTTTTTCATCGCGGAATCTGAAAAGATCTTTTTTTTTTTTTTAGTTTCTTCTTTTATCAGTTCTTTTAGTTTTGAATCTTGTATTAATATTTCTTCAGGAAATGTTTCATATGACAACTTAAATTTTCTTAACTTCATCTCAGATTGAGTCACACTCAGATTCAGCAATATACATTTCAGATGTAGGCCTATTCGATATCTTTATTTTCTTGAATTTGATTATTTTCTGTTCAAACATTTTGTTGAAACTGTTATATCATCAAACGAAATTAAATTAAATTTTCTCATTATACTAATCGAATGTGATTCTATGACGAGTATATTTAATCCATCAATCAATAAAGAATACAATGATATTTTGTTATCCAGTAACAATAGTTTTAATTTTAAAAAATAATTTCAATAAAATAAATTCTTATTGAATATTAATAAATTATATATATATATAATGTTTAATAACATAATGATATTAGATAACATTAAACATTCTTGAACAATTAAAATAAAAAAATATTCAAAATAGAACCGCAATTGAACCTGTATCTCAAACATATCTATCTTGAAAACCTCTTTGTGTCGAAATTTATCTTTTTCTCTGCATTTTCAGCCTAAATTCAATATATTTTCCACATTTATCTCAAATAATTTTCTCCCAAAACCTCTAATCTGAAATTATGGACTGAGGAGTCAAACAATATGAAGTTTGTATTCACAATTGATAAATACTAACTTGATAGCAATATGGGCATCATGCAATATCTGAAATACTTCTTCAATGCGAATGTAATATTTAAACTTACATCCTTTTGAAGACACGATTAATTTTTCTATTTCACTTAAGTTTTTGACTCTTACTTTTTGTATCATCGTCAAATATGCTGATTTTAAAATATATTGATTCCATTGTTTAAATTTTTACAAATACTTTTACATCGTATTTGTTAAATGTAACCATTTCAGGATAGAAGAGTTCAATCCACCAACTACCCAGTGAACCATATGCAACAGACCTTGGCAGACCAATGCCATGACAAGGGTACAACGCCATACAGAACCTACTGATCAAACTTCTATCCATCACCGAGCAATCTCTGGACAATGACCATATACTCCTACACCCACCAGGAAGATAGCATTCTCCTCCTGAGGTATTTCTGCTAGTCGGTGTTTGTAAACTCTCTCTTCGATTCAAGATGCGATCTCTCAGATAATCTCGGCACACACTCATGGCATAGGTAGTAGAATAGTTGCGATGCCTTATAATATTTGACAATATCCTCATGTAATCACCATATTCAGACATATAGCTTGTATTTTCTCATGTATCCTAGCTTAGATATATATATATATTAAACTTTTGTTGTTTGTTAAACCTGTTTGCCTGTCTCTCACTCAGGAAGTGGACACCCTCTCAACTTACCTGCGTGCACTCCCTACGTGACCCTCCTACTCATCATTTAAGAATCGAGAGTTATGATACAATTTAGCATTATCCTAACTGGTTTCAGTCCTGACGTCAGATGGATCCCTCAATCCCACCGACAATTTATCATAGAGCCATCCCACAGACATAGAGATCAAGTTTTACCAACCCATGCCAATTAAGTGGTCACTAAGGATAGCCTCCTTGGCCCCTGGCTAATCTCACACAATGTTGGCAATAGTTACCATAAACTCTGCTTTTGTTGTAGATTTTTATCATTGTATGTAATCCAATTAAAAAGAGCCAGTAAGGCCAAAATGCATTTTGGCCAGTAAAGTGTTAATTAAATACACTGGGAGTATAATAAACCTGGTTCATTGGTTCTAGTTAACTTTGTTGTTTTTTGTATTTGATGAGAGTTTGAATTGACATAAACTAAAATTAAAACTAATTACAACAAATAATAAAATTAAAATTTATTATTTACATTTTATATTAAATCTTTTTCATTCCTAATAAACCATGTGAGCCTGAAAAACAAAAAAAATATATTTTAATTATCAACTGCTACAAAAAGTATAAATTTGTAAAAATAACAATAATAATAATAATTTATTGCATTATGTAAAATACAATACTATAAAACCAATTTCACAAATAAAAACTTCTTATTAAAACATAAAAGAATAATTCATACTAAATCATAAAACAAGTTGTATATTAAATGTCTTTAAGAATTTAAAATGCTTGAAAATGTTGTAACAGTTATAAATAATCTAATGATAGAAGACATTAATTATCTAAGTTCCTAATCTAGTTTATAAACAGAAGAAAATAGCATTATTATTATTATTATTACTTTTTACATTTGACTGAAGTGTGTCTCATACTCTAACATAAGCACATGAAGCAGAGTTACCACTGTAAAAATGATCTTTAAAATAATCTCATAACAAATAATTAGTAAAAATAGATTTTCAAAGGTAAAAAAAGATTAATAAACTCTCTGTTGTTGTTAATCTGTTTTTTTCTGTGAATTTTGTATGAAATAGAGTAGCTATTGACATTATAATATAAACAGCTACATCATAAAATGAAAAAACTGTCTTAAATAAAATCAATGTAGACAGTATTTAACAGCCATAAACATAACTGTGTTAATACACTATTGGTTATGTAAAAGTTATAATTAAAGAATATTATAATTTCATTATAAAAAAAATTACACAAAAAAAAAAATAATAATAATACATTCATACAAAATTCAAATTTTGCATGCATGTATAAATATATTTCATTTATCAATAGTTAACATGTGTTACTATCAAACCTGTAAAAAATAATATAATTATATAAAAATATTGTCTAATATTCTGTAAATAGATATTTTCTTGAAACATAATTCATTTTATTGCATTTAGTGATGCAAAATTATAAAAAGATACTTTACTAATTGTTATTAGGCCATATTTATCCACATGAAACACAAAATGGAACACAATAGGAAATATGTTTTGTTAAATATACATTTAACAATTCAAATAAATAACAATTTATAAAATTGAAAGTTTTATCTCTAGCAGAAATTAGATATAGGAATAAATATCTATGAAGTGGTTACAAAATATAATTGAATTTTATATTCAGATAAGTTTGCTAAATATAATATTATGATATATTTATAATATTTAGTGTTTGTTTTAATAATGTAATTATACCTAAAAACTTAGAAAAGAATGATTTCATAAAGTGTGATTTATTTGAAAACTGAAAAACAATTCTAATTTTACAAACATGTTATTAATAAATATTACTAATACATAGATTAAAACAAAACAATTTTTAACAAAATGTAATATTAGAAGAATTTTAGATTTTCTGCAGATTAGTTTATTTAAAGTAAAAATAAGTCATACTTATTTATACATTTACTTTTACATAGTACAAGTTATGTTATATTACTATGAAGAATTTATTAATATAAATTCTTGCATAATATATATTATAAAAAATTGTCATATCAAAAATCTTAAAATATTAAAATATCTATTTTTCAACACAAAATTTAATCATAACATTACCTGGCAACATTGAAAAACATTTAAAAAAAATCATTCACTTACTTGCTTAAAATTCTTCTTTCCTTTTTTTAATTTTTGTTTATGCAGCTTTGGCTTTCCTTTATTTTTTTTCATTTTAGTTTTTTCCTTTGAATGACTTGGCTTTTGAACTTTAATCCTGTTTATGTTTAAATTTGTAGATGATTCTTTTTTATTTGAAGAAAAAAACTAGTAATAAAAATATATGTATTAATTTCTAAATTTTTATTGAAAGGACATATTCTTTTTACATATTATTCTCTTAATGAAGTAGTAATTTTTGTTTAACTGTGTAATTGCATAAGGTTATATCTAAATTTAAATAAAACCGGAAGCAAGGGCTAGCTTTTGGTCCGAGTGGCGCAACTGGCAAGTGCACCACATGGCAAGTGGAGGTTGTGGGTTGAAGCCTTGCCCCAGGTCAGTTCTTTTCTTTCTTCCAAATTATTCTAAATTATTTATTAAAATATTAAAATTATAATTATTAATTTATNAAACAAGTTGTATATTAAATGTCTTTAAGAATTTAAAATGCTTGAAAATGTTGTAACAGTTATAAATAATCTAATGATAGAAGACATTAATTATCTAAGTTCCTAATCTAGTTTATAAACAGAAGAAAATAGCATTATTATTATTATTATTACTTTTTACATTTGACTGAAGTGTGTCTCATACTCTAACATAAGCACATGAAGCAGAGTTACCACTGTAAAAATGATCTTTAAAATAATCTCATAACAAATAATTAGTAAAAATAGATTTTCAAAGGTAAAAAAAGATTAATAAACTCTCTGTTGTTGTTAATCTGTTTTTTTCTGTGAATTTTGTATGAAATAGAGTAGCTATTGACATTATAATATAAACAGCTACATCATAAAATGAAAAAACTGTCTTAAATAAAATCAATGTAGACAGTATTTAACAGCCATAAACATAACTGTGTTAATACACTATTGGTTATGTAAAAGTTATAATTAAAGAATATTATAATTTCATTATAAAAAAAATTACACAAAAAAAAAAATAATAATAATACATTCATACAAAATTCAAATTTTGCATGCATGTATAAATATATTTCATTTATCAATAGTTAACATGTGTTACTATCAAACCTGTAAAAAATAATATAATTATATAAAAATATTGTCTAATATTCTGTAAATAGATATTTTCTTGAAACATAATTCATTTTATTGCATTTAGTGATGCAAAATTATAAAAAGATACTTTACTAATTGTTATTAGGCCATATTTATCCACATGAAACACAAAATGGAACACAATAGGAAATATGTTTTGTTAAATATACATTTAACAATTCAAATAAATAACAATTTATAAAATTGAAAGTTTTATCTCTAGCAGAAATTAGATATAGGAATAAATATCTATGAAGTGGTTACAAAATATAATTGAATTTTATATTCAGATAAGTTTGCTAAATATAATATTATGATATATTTATAATATTTAGTGTTTGTTTTAATAATGTAATTATACCTAAAAACTTAGAAAAGAATGATTTCATAAAGTGTGATTTATTTGAAAACTGAAAAACAATTCTAATTTTACAAACATGTTATTAATAAATATTACTAATACATAGATTAAAACAAAACAATTTTTAACAAAATGTAATATTAGAAGAATTTTAGATTTTCTGCAGATTAGTTTATTTAAAGTAAAAATAAGTCATACTTATTTATACATTTACTTTTACATAGTACAAGTTATGTTATATTACTATGAAGAATTTATTAATATAAATTCTTGCATAATATATATTATAAAAAATTGTCATATCAAAAATCTTAAAATATTAAAATATCTATTTTTCAACACAAAATTTAATCATAACATTACCTGGCAACATTGAAAAACATTTTAAAAAAATCATTCACTTACTTGCTTAAAATTCTTCTTTCCTTTTTTTAATTTNTCAATGACATACAGTGAAACCTCGGTATACGACCTTAATCCATTCCTGATGTTTGGACTTATACCGAATAGGACATATATCGAACCAACCTTTCCTATATGAAGTAATGTAAAAATGATTAATCCATTCTCATGTAAAAAAAATGACTGGCTTTAAACACCTCGCTTTCCTGGTTAGTTCCTACTTGATTTTTCATGAGATCAGCATGTATCTTTTTAGCTTTCTCGCAAATAATTGCTTCTGATATGCTGTCACCAGCACACTTTTATAAACATATATGAATAAAAATTTAAGGTAAAGTCAAATTTACTTCATAAAACAATCATTTTTGTAATCTTTTCAACTTTTAAAAGCATTATTAAAATCTCCAAACATCTTGAAATAATTTTTCCATAAGAAAAAGGTGAAACCCATTAAAAATAAACTTACCAAATGTCTTTTAAACAAGAAAATAACTTATTTTGAATGCAGTCATAATTTTCAAACTTTATTTAAGAAATCATAAATAAAGGTTTTGATTTCTTGAAGCAGCTTGAATGTTATAATTTCATTTGTCAAATGTAAAGAGTAGGGGAAGAGTCAAAAGCACCTAATTTATCAACTGACTCAAATTTGATTGGTATAAAATATCTACATCTTTTTGATTGTCTTTCTTCACTCTGGATTTTCAAAATATATAATTTAAATTCTTCAACTAGGCTTTTGAATATCATTCATTACCTAGCATTCTGATAATTAAGCTGCACTCAAGTAATTAAGATTTTTTTGCTGAAATTTAACTAATTTTTTATGATATACAATATATCAAATAATTTAAATTAACTTAATACTCAAAATGCATAATAATTTGCTAGCATGAATACTTCTTGCTTATCATTTTATTAAATAAATAAACTTATGACAGACTAGTAATTTTATTACCTCCAATCTTTTTTTCAAATCTGCTTGAGATACTCCCTTAGCAGCATCAGATCCAGCCCTTATTAATCCTTCTGTTAAGAGCTTCAAATTTCTGTTGTCTTTTCCTTTTTTCTGTTTTTCTTCTTTATTTTTTCTAATATCTTCAGGACTAATTGCCAGACTCACATTTAATCTTCTTCCATCCAAAATAATATTCTGAAATAAAAATATTTTTGTCACTAAAACTATTACTTATATAAATAACTATATTTCATATTGTATGTAAGCTATTAAATGTTCTTGTTAATCTTATCTTGTCTTTTGATTCGTTTGCAGTTACAAGAAATAACCACATAGAGTCTCTCAAGTCTTTGTAGATATAACAAACACAGAAATAAATAACACAAAATAAATTGTAGCTATGTGTCGATTCCGTGCGACACATCCGAACATGTAAGCTGAACAAGTGTGGGGGGGAGTGAGTAATCAAGAGTTGCATGGCACTCAAACAAAAGATGAATCGACGAGATTTGAAAATCGTGTAACTCCGGGGTAGCTTAAGTCAAGGTATTACTGTATTTTCGAAAAATAAGGTTTCCGTGCAAAACAGGTGATAGAAGTAAAAAAGTTTAATGAAAGACATTTATCATTTGACAGAGAATAAAAAAATGTTAATCTCTTCTCCAATGACTGAATGTGTGGTTTCAACATGATGGTTGCTCAACTCATTATTCTTCAAATTTTCAATGCAAATTTCCAACCTAACCTATCCTACAAATTCTAGGATGAATCTAGGAAAAAATTAAATATCAAGTTATCTACACAGATTTTTATGAACATTTAAAAAAGTTACCTTATTTGGAGTAAATATATCAGGATTATTATTCAGATTCCGTAATGCTTGAAGTGCATCTTCATGTCTGGTAAAACCAACAAAACCAAATCCTTTTGATATCCCAACACCTTTTTCATCCAGATTTTTAAGATTTCTCATAACTTTAGCCTAAAATTACACTTTGTTTTTAACATAATAGAGAAAGGAAACAAAACAGTACTAAATGAAAACTTACACTTATCACTTTTGCTTGAGGTCCAGCAGCTTTCAAAAATATTTTCTTGAGTTTGTTGTCATCCACATGTGAAGGAAGATTATGAACACATAATCTCACTGGTGAAATAAAATAGTGGAGATTTTTCAATAACCTTTTCTTGTAAGCTTCTAGCTAAAATATAACATAAAGAAAACATTATAAACAAATAAGTATGAAAAATTTAATTTAAAATATTATGTTTGAAAAGTAAAAAAAAATATAATTTGTTNTTTTTAAATTATTTTTTCACTCAAACATTGCTATCCTGCCTAGTTTAAAGACATTTATGCAAAATATCAGATCTCTTGGGATTAAGCTTCCTTTCTCTCATCTATCTGAAACTTAAACTATCAATTACAGTAATACCCCGACTTACGCAAACCCGGAGTTACACGATTTTCAAATCTCGTTGATTCGTCTTGTGTTTGAGCGCCACGCAACTCTCGATTACTCACTCCTCCCACACTATTGTTCAGCTTACATGTTCGGATGTGTCGCACAGAATCAACATATAGCTACAATTTATTTTGTGTTATTTATTTCTGTGTTTGTTATATCTACGGATACTCGAGAGACTACTATGTCATCCAAACGAAGTAGAATTGATTCTTCTGCATCAAACAAGAAAAGAAAAACTTTATCTTTGGAATGTAAAGTTAACATTATTAAAGACTTTGATACAAAAGTGAAAATTTGTGAATTGGCAAAGAAGTTTGATCTACCGGAATCGACGGTCAGAACAATTATAAAGGATAAAGAAAAAATTCACAAAGCGGTAAAAAATGCTCAATCTTTAAATTCAAGCATCATTCGTAAACGTCACGGTATTATCCCTGAGATGGAAACAATGTTAAAATTATGGTGTGATAATCAAGTAAATGTGAAAAATTGTATAATAATATAATTTGTTATACATATGTATTATCTAAGATTTTATTAAACATTTTTTTCTAAATTATTGTTGTCTTTAGTCTTCTGCCCCAATTAAAAATTATTTGTATGTATTTATATGCGAAATTATACCCCGACTTATGCGAATTCGACTTACGCGGTTATCGCTCGGTCCCACCTATCGCATAAGTTCGGGGTATTACTGTACTAATTCTCACCAAAAGCTGGATAACACTACTGATATCATTCACAATTTTGGCTAGAAACATCTTACTAATCAAATTAATCAACAAGGAGAAGTTATTATGAATATCTATCATCTCTAACTTCAAATATCTAAAACTTTTTGAATTTGCAGATACTATATTAGTCAGTGTTATTTCTAGTTATTCAATCACAATCATAACTGTATGCATCCCAATCATTACCAGGATAGATCCTTATACTTACAAAGATTTTTAAAATTCTTTTAGAAATTTGTGCTCTCATAAAATTATACTTTTAGGTGGTTTTAACTCCAAAAATATTCGATGGATAGCTGGTCTTGTAAAGTACTATATTATTTTTCCGACTTTCCAGCGATTATCGACACTACTGTGTGCCGGAAATAGCCGTTCCCTAACGGGTACTTTACGCGGATTCGCGTTAGTGTGCCAGGCCTGGACTTTAAGCGTGCACCGAATTAAATAATGACAAAGTTTGNATAGTATTGAATTAATACTCCATAAAACAAATCATTTAAATACTTTTGTACAAAAAATACATTGTTGTAATTGCTTTTCGTATGAAAATTATGACCATGTAATATGTAGAAAATTAAGTGATTTGGTAAGTGCAAAATAATAACATATATACCCAATAATAATATAGTAGAAAAAATAATACATATAAATATTGCAATCATTATTCATGTTTATTATTTATTTGAATATAAAACACAATCCTTTATCTCCTCATTATATCTTAATGCCGTATAACTTATAATATTCAATTGTGTAATTTATTTTCATATATTTATTTATTTTATTATAGCAATTTACTTTTGCTTTCTTTTAGTTTTTATCAATTCTAACACTATCTACATTTAATTCTCATTATTTTCACTTTCATTCTATTTAAATTTGATTTTACTGCTTTTGATTTTCAAAATCATTCAAGTTGCATCAATTAAATAAATATAGATGTACTGTATTCATAACAACAACAACTTTATTTTTTTTAAATATTGAATTTACAACAAAAAATTATTATTAAAGGTTCAGAAATTGGTATATTAAACATAATGATAGATAACATGATAATGCAATTTATATTAAGTGCTTTTTTTATTCTTTCAGACCTATGGGCACTAAGAAAGCTTTTCTCAGGTCCATTATGGGTTTTGGCCAGCCATAATGGGGTAGGTGGAAAAAACCACCCACAAGATTCCTGGAGTTTTTCGGCCCACAAAGATATTCCAGGTGCTCAGAACGATAAGGAGACCTGGGATACAGAAACTTTATTTTCTGACATCATAAAAATAAAAGATGTTGAATATGGTTATCAACAAAAAATAAAAAGAAAAGAATTTAGAATCATCAATAAGATATGATATTACAAGAATACAAATTATATTTTATGAAAAACTGGCATAATGCAATCCAATATGCAAAATACAAGTACAGTATGCAAGAACAGAGTAAACCAATTTTACTGTATTCTTGTTTAAAACTACTTACAGTTTTGTTTTCCCCTGAAATCTCTTTTTTTTAAAAATATGATATATGTGATTGGAATTTAAAATATTTAACTTTATGCATAAAAACAAAAATTGTAGTTTTAATGAAAAAAAAAAAGCTTGTAATGACTTTAAATGCAATTAAATAAAAGTAACAGATTTAAAGCATCATTCTCTAAATAAATGCTATCAGATTATATTTTATCATTATTTGTTTTAAAGAAATAATTGTTTGAAACAATATTATAAAAAAATCCACATTAAGAAAAATACATTAATTCAACCATCCTTTGATTTAGACATCAAATTTTTTAAATTTATTCAAATTTTTTTCAAAATCTCTTTCCCAACTTCAGAAATACATTAAAAATAAAAGTTAACATTGAAATATAAAAAAAAAAATAGTTTTATAAACATATATGAATAAAAATTTAAGGTAAAGTCAAATTTACTTCATAAAACAATCATTTTTGTAATCTTTTCAACTTTTAAAAGCATTATTAAAATCTCCAAACATCTTGAAATAATTTTTCCATAAGAAAAAGGTGAAACCCATTAAAAATAAACTTACCAAATGTCTTTTAAACAAGAAAATAACTTATTTTGAATGCAGTCATAATTTTCAAACTTTATTTAAGAAATCATAAATAAAGGTTTTGATTTCTTGAAGCAGCTTGAATGTTATAATTTCATTTGTCAAATGTAAAGAGTAGGGGAAGAGTCAAAAGCACCTAATTTATCAACTGACTCAAATTTGATTGGTATAAAATATCTACATCTTTTTGATTGTCTTTCTTCACTCTGGATTTTCAAAATATATAATTTAAATTCTTCAACTAGGCTTTTGAATATCATTCATTACCTAGCATTCTGATAATTAAGCTGCACTCAAGTAATTAAGATTTTTTTGCTGAAATTTAACTAATTTTTTATGATATACAATATATCAAATAATTTAAATTAACTTAATACTCAAAATGCATAATAATTTGCTAGCATGAATACTTCTTGCTTATCATTTTATTAAATAAATAAACTTATGACAGACTAGTAATTTTATTACCTCCAATCTTTTTTTCAAATCTGCTTGAGATACTCCCTTAGCAGCATCAGATCCAGCCCTTATTAATCCTTCTGTTAAGAGCTTCAAATTTCTGTTGTCTTTTCCTTTTTTCTGTTTTTCTTCTTTATTTTTTCTAATATCTTCAGGACTAATTGCCAGACTCACATTTAATCTTCTTCCATCCAAAATAATATTCTGAAATAAAAATATTTTTGTCACTAAAACTATTACTTATATAAATAACTATATTTCATATGTAAAGATTGAAAAATATTATAATTCCAAACTCAGTTATAACAAACTAAACAATTATAACAAATTGAAGCTTAATTATAACAAATATATGGAATTTTGGAACTAATTAAAGCATACCGTAATAATTCTGTTACATGTAGGGATAGTATTACCAGTAAATAGTTTACCAATAATCCAGTAAAAAAAAGTAGACATGTAACAATTTTTTGAAATCAAATATTTATTTGTAAACACTTTCACACATATTTACATTTCTATATATTAAAAACAGAAGCATCATATATTTTTATTCAAACCATAAAAGTAGTTTACATTATTTTCCTTTTTAAATTATTACTTTAAAGTTCTTTACAATTTTTAAGGTATATATTACAGCATCATGTTGAACAGTTTTGCTATTTGTTTCATAACCTTACTGTAAAATCCAGAGTGCAATAATGATTTTAGTTGACAAAATGGAATACATTTATTTAAACGTGAAAGTTCATACTGTCCACTTTTTCTCATGACAACTAAAAAATTACAAACAAAAAGAAACAGTACACCTTGTATAACTCCAGCAATATATTTAATTAACCAAAAACATTTTTGACCTACTTCCATAGGCCTTCTTCACTTGAAACATCAAACATAAATGAAAAAAGAACAAAAAGAACATTCCAATAACATATTAAACGCAATGGGAATAATTTAAATTAATGGAAAGAACATTCTAAAATCAATAGAACATTCATACAATTCAAATGCAAGGTACATAAGAAATAAATAAATAGATAATAGAGAAGTTGCGGCCAAAGTTTTCAATGCAAAAGCGTGTACGTCGGACATTCAGTGCGGCCTTCCTATAAGTCTAGAAGTTTGACAATGGCATTTGGAAAGTCAGTGGAATCATGCTGAATGTTCCAAATGCCATTATCAAACTTCTAGACTTACAGGAAGGTGGCGCTGAACATCCAACATACACATTTTCATGTTGAAAACGTCGGCTGAAACTTCTCTATTATAACCAAAACTTAAAAATATAAATATAAGCAAACATAAATGGTACAAAAATAAAATAAAAAATAAATAACAGGGGACCAAGCTCAAGTTAAAGCTTGTATAAAGATTTCCATGACATCAATAACATGTCAGCATTCTTATGATTGGTACAAAGTGTTTTCTATTAGCTTTAAAAATTTCTAACTCCCAAGAACTTGATAGAGTTAGAGCTGCTAACAGACCTAAAGATCTTAGCCTCATCTTACTTTATCCATACATGCTGCTAAGAGACATAAGCCACTAAAACCACGGTGTTGAGATTTTTTCAATGACATACAGTGAAACCTCGGTATACGACCTTAATCCATTCCTGATGTTTGGACTTATACCGAATAGGACATATATCGAACCAACCTTTCCCATATGAAGTAATGTAATAATGATTAATCCATTCTCATGTAAAAAAAATGACTGGCTTTAAACACCTCGCTTTCCTGGTTAGTTCCTACTTGATTTTTCATGAGATCAGCATGTATCTTTTTAGCTTTCTCGCAAATAATTGCTTCTGATATGCTGTCACCAGCACACTGTTTTTCAGTTATCCAAAGCAAAAGCAATTTCTCGACATGATCTAATGTCTTTGATCTCTGTTTAGAAATTGATTTAACCCCTTTCGCAATGTTAACAGATTCAATAATGTCTTTATTTTTCACAATTGTCAATATCGTCGTTCTCAGAATACGGTATGCAACAGTTAAAATCTCAAACACACATGCCACCTTCATATTTCTCAACAATCTCTTTTATCAGTTCCATTGTGATTCTAGTAATTTTTTTAGTTTTCTGTTGCTTTTTCATTTGCCTTTTTGCAATTCATGATTAATAAAAATAATAAAATTTTACTTACAAATTAAAATCAGAAGAAATTTAGCAAAGTTATAAACTGTGGCACTGCAAACATCTAGTCTGGTCAAGTACACCGATGGTGCTACTTGTTCATATATGGCGTGTATAATTGAATTAAGTTGTATACCAAACAAAAGTTGTTTATCTAGCAAAATTTCTTTCGTCCAAACAGGACGTATTCCAAATTTGACATATTCTAAAGCAGACATATACCAAAGTACCACTGTATTTGTATTCCTTAATTCTTTGTAGTAGAGTGCATCCAGTAGCTCCCACATATATTAATTGTGTGTTGAAGTGCTGGTCCTCAAGTGGAATGACAAACACCTGAGGAATTGGTGTAGTTAAGTACATCTTTATTGTTACAGAAAATTCCAAAAACCATTGAATTATGCTTATAGACAAGGTTTACATTTTTCATTTTATTCAGTTCCTTGTGTATTTGTCTTAATATGAAAACATAGTGTAAACATACCCTTTTCTTACAGGCTGGTTGTGAAGACAGTTCTTGGTGTTTCAAAAATGTTATTTAAGCTTTGTACCAAATCAGTAGAAAACCCTATTGTTTGGCAACCTTCCCAATATTACCCAGTTCAATGTAAGTGTGTAAGTGTCTATGACATTAGTGCAATAGGTATAATTTTACCATATTAATGACCTGAATGCCAAGAATTTGATGGAGAATGGATCAAACAAATTGTGCAAGAGGAAAACAGGTTGATAAGTAGGCTTATTGTACATATCACTGTAATCCCATCATTTCTGCAAGTGAGATATATATCCAATAAATGAACTGAGATGTTACTCTCTTGCTCTAAGCATACATTTCAGAACAAACATTGCTTGAACTATAACTTTTGTTCTTTTAACCATATTGGCAATCTCACAAAATCTTTGAATTTAGACCATTCTTAAAATCTTCTTGTTAAAATCAATGAAAAGGTTTTCCTTACTGTTGATAACAAGCTATGGAATAGTAATTTACTGGATATTGTCTACTAGCCCTTTTTCATTCATAAATTATAGAATATTTAACTTCACACCAGCTCTCTAGAACTTATACAGATCTCAAGATGTAGTTGAATAAATGTTACATCTCTTAACTTAAGAAGAAAGTTGTTTTATAAAAAAGAAAGAAAACCAAAATTAAATCCATACCAGGAGCAGAATCATTTCTCATACAATTTACAGCCTGATCTAATTCAAATAATATGCAGTAAACCATCCAAAACAATCCATTTCTGAGTTAAAATCAAAAATCATAATATTCTCATTTTTTTCAGTATATTTTTTAAAAATGGTCAACCATTCATCTTAGGACAAAATGAATTAACTCTTTTCCAAATGTTAAATCTGTAAAATTTAATAAATGGTTAACTAGCTTTCCAAAATTTTCTCTCTCTTTTTTCCATTTAAAATATTCACCTAAATTTTCTGAGAAATTTCTTTTAAAAAAATGGCTGACAAATTAACACATTAAAAAAATATTTTATAAAAGACTAAAATGTCTTTCATCATGTAGAATCACCAAGAAACAGTCTTCCATTGCAGGGACAACCTTTTATTAGAAAGAAATTGTTTCTCCCAATTCATATAGAGCTACATTATTTTGTTATTAATAACAAAATAATGTAGCTCTAAACAAATGCAATGTAGCTCTAAACAAAATAATTGCAATGTAGCTCTAAACAAAATAAAACAGTTTTATATTAATTAGGAGAAATAATTCCTCAGAAAACAAACTTGTGCATTGGTGTGCATCTGAACAAATTGTTTAACATTTGTTCTACTTTTACATTACAAAGCTGCTGTTTACCTTGATCCTGTCACATTCAAACTTCTTCATCCAGCTTTTACTCAGAGAAGATTTTCTGAATGATTTTGCCTTTAATTTTTTATCAAGAACATTTTGTATAAACTTTGCAATTCACAACAGCATGTAAATAGATTCATCCATATCCCTCACCTATCTTCATATAATGGAATACTATGGCATGATATAAAGTTAGTTATATTTGTGCTTTCTAACAGGGAGACTTATGTGCTAATGTGCTTCTGAACTTTTCACTTATCATTCATTCTACTTTTATATTACAGGTTAGTAACTTTTTAATACTATCTTGTTCTCATATATATATTTTTTTTTTATTTACACACCAACACACTTCACATTTTTGTCTTTCTTATTATCAACAATTACCAATAATTTTATTTTCTATCATTACCAATTTACAATATCAATAGAGTAGTTTTTAATTATACTAGTTATCATCTGCCATATTTTTATTTAATTTTATTTATAATCAATATTGTCATTTATATTATTGTTTTATCAACATATACTTATATTTATTGGGCTGCAATTTGAAAATTGCAGCCCAATAAATATAAGTAAATGTATTCCCACTGTTCTCTGACTGTCTGTCCTTTGTTAATCTAGAGAACTGAGTTAGATAGATAAAAATCAAGACCAGAAAGGAAAGCTTTGGGGCTGGAGACCTTGATTAACCTTATACAAATTTCTGATCTGGACTGAAGTCATGTGATTTTTTTAAAATTAAATGATGATTAAAAATTGCAGCCCAGCATTGTGACAATGTCACAATAAATAATTGATTGTTTATATTTAACAAATTTTATATCATTTTTATTGTTATAATTTTTTTTTTAATTATTTTTTCACTCAAACATTGCTATCCTGCCTAGTTTAAAGACATTTATGCAAAATATCAGATCTCTTGGGATTAAGCTTCCTTTCTCTCATCTATCTGAAACTTAAACTATCAATTACAGTAATACCCCGACTTACGCAAACCCGGAGTTACACGATTTTCAAATCTCGTTGATTCGTCTTGTGTTTGAGCGCCACGCAACTCTCGATTACTCACTCCCCCCACACTATTGTTCAGCTTACATGTTCGGATGTGTCGCACAGAATCAACATATAGCTACAATTTATTTTGTGTTATTTATTTCTGTGTTTGTTATATCTACGGATACTCGAGAGACTACTATGTCATCCAAACGAAGTAGAATTGATTCTTCTGCATCAA